CAGCCTGTACTAAGTATTGCTAAATTGCTCTCTGAGGGACATGCATCAGTTTACAGTCCCATCCATAGGATCTGTGCCTCCATTTTTTCCACAGCCTTGAGAACCTTGGTCCTTTCAGTGTGAAATGCCTTGAAAACTTATCCTGACACATTTTGCTGATTGGATAGATGTGAACAGAGTTTTTTTTTTTTTTTTTTTTTTTTTAAGATGACCGGTAAGGGGACCTTAACCCTTGACTTGGTGTTGTCAGCACCATGCTCTCCCAAGTGAGCCATGGGCCGGCCCGGGTTTTTGATTATTTTTTTATTTTCTAAAATTTGCATTTTTCTGATTACTAGTTACATTGAGCACCATATCATTTGTTTTGCTTTTCTCTATGAATGGATCGTTCCATCCTTTATGCATTTTCCCATACAGTCATTTGTCCTTTGATGTTTAGGAGTTCCTGTTTCCAATTCGAATCCTTTATCAAGTTATGTTCTTGAAAATTTCTCCAGGTGTTTGCTTTTATTTTAACTTTCATTAAAGTGACATTTGTATAAATTATGATGTGGGTAAAATGGCCTGCCTTTTCTTTTGTGATCTTTTCCTTTCATGACTTAAATCCTTATTTCTGGTCAACAAATATGTTCTTTTATGTTTTCTTCTAATAGGTATAAATAAAAAATGTAAAAATTTGGGTCTTTTATTCATTGAGGGAGAACCAAGCCCTGTTCTGTGTCTGTGCAGTCCTTTCTCTGAATTCTTGCTGCTGCTTTAACTGTGACCACCATATCTGATGTTGATGATCAGAATTCTGCCCTAATTTATCTTCTACTTATTCTTTCTTCCACTAACTCCCACCTTTCTTCCACATTAACATGGTCTTTTGTAGTTCCTTCCCTTAAATACAGTGATATGGTAATCCCCATTGCCTATAGGAAAACAACAACAACAACAAAAAAAAACCCCTTAATTTGTCCTGTGATCTGCTTGAGTGCTCTCCCTCCCTGTCTCTCTCTGTCTCTCACCCCTTATACCCTATATCGTCAGTCTCAACTCTTTGCATTTCCTACCAGGCTTTTCTCTGACTCCCTCATTCATGCCAGGCCTCTTGACAGGGATATCCTTCAGACATCAGCACACTCTGTTTACCTTTGATGATTCTGCTCAGATGTGACCTCCTGTGAAGTTTAACTTGACATCAGTACGTCAGATTTGACTGCTGCCTTCCCTGTGCCTGTTCTGTACTTAAGTACTCTTCTACCGCAGCCTTCAGTGTAGTCTTGTTATACAGCTACCTTTATATGTTCATTTTGCTCCACCAGACTCTGCCTTTAGAACAGGAGCAGTGTTGCATTCAGCTCTTGACTCCCAGCACCTCGTAGAATGCCAGTCACATGCCAGGTCTTCAGTAGATACTTGCTCACTGAAGGAATGGAGATCCGGTAGTGAGATCTTTTTTTTTTTTTTTTTTGTATTTTGTCTTTTTCCGTGTCCGGCAACGGATCGCAACCCTC